GCGAACACAGATGCACTCAGCTTCTTAGTGATTCTGTTGATTTTCGCAAGCCTCAGATTTGTTACAGTCGCTAGGGGGATTTCGAATCATACCAACCTTTTCAATTCTTCTTGCGATGGTTCTGGCAATGGTGTTTTGGAAGAAAATAGAGGTGTGCCAACAGGAGCAAATCCTCTGCATAACAGGTAGCTACAGAGCACAAAGATAGAGAGAGAGAGTCTAAGTTCTTTTTGTTATCCATTGTTGTTTGTTTCTTCAAGTGTTAACGAATCTGGGATACATGCATGTTGTTGTTGTTTGGATGTCTCGTCTCTTGTTTCTATGTGGTTCTTCATATAACATAGTCTAATGAAAATTGAAATTTGACCAGCTCTGACATGTTTGTGCATGGGTTGTCTCTTGTTCGAATAGAAGGAAAAAGGAAAGGAAATGGCTTTGTTGCATGCTTATGATAAAGTGTGTTCCACCATGAAGTGCTTGGGAGTGCAGGGGAGGACCTCAAAACCACCTTTTTCGATGGGCAACAACCTCAGCCACTGAAACAGACACAAATCAAACCCAACTATTGAATTAATTGTGATTTCCAATGTTAGATGAAACTCACTTTCAATCCATTGAAATTACATTGAATATAGTTGCTAACATTAGAACTTACCATTAATTTTGTGGTTTTTTATGTAGCTAGTTCATAACATATATAATATGATCGAACTTTTAAGTGGATGTCCCTGGCAAAACTCACTCTGTTGAGTCATTACTCTGGCCCAGAACTGTGATCGTTTTCCCCGAATGCTACCAGTAATTTTAAGTTAGTGTATAGCTCGTATCTATCGCAAATCAAACTCGTGACCTAGGCTTGACTCTTGATGCCAATGGGTAAAAACCCACATCAATACACCAAAATCTTTAAGAAAGATCAAATGAAACGCGTGAAGTCTGGGTGGTTAGACAATGTTTTTATTCAACATACGCATGCTTCATCTTTGTATTACTTAACAAAAACATTGAAAGGATGGAATTTGCATCTTTAATTTGATATGTAGAGGGGCAATGGATAACACAATAAAATAACATATACAGATGCAATTTTCTTATATAATATCAGCAAAACAGTATAGGAAAAGAAATATTGAGGTAGTATTGTGTAATTTATACCATGCATGCGTGATTATATTAAGCACTTTTCAACATGAGATAAGCTTTTATAATTATGTGATGCAATCGAAGTAGACTAGCTGTTGGATGAATACTGGGATGCTTATGTGCTTGTCTGGTTCAGCATCAGAGCTGCTCCACTGTTCTCTTTTGGTGTTTTATGGACTTGCTAGTTTTTACATGAGAGTTGATCTCTCACCTGGGGGAGAAAAATATAATATGGATCAAAGACAGAAAAAAAAAGGGTGATCTGTAAAAAGTTTGTTTTTTGAATACGGAATAAATTTAAAAATCTGACCTAATCTACGACAACCGAAACAATTAATCCAATAGTTTTAATGACAGCAAGAATAATACTCTTTGAGGATTTAAATAACTGAGATAATAACTTGATCTAATGATTTGTTTACTAACATGATCTAAATGAAGAAGTTTAACCGTTGGATCATATCTAGTGACACATCATTAGATCAATAAATTATGTCTCAATAACATTACTTTTGTCACAGTATTGTTGAACCATATCGACTGACATGTCATTAATTCAATGATGTAGGTCAAATTTTTAGATTTCAAGGCATCATTTCCCTTCAAAATATTTGTATTGTTTTCTTGATGACCACAGTGGCAGCATAAAGAGTGTATACACCACCTCATCTAATTTTTTTTTTTTTTAGTTAATGATCAGGAATGTTCTAGTTAGTTAATAAGTACCGTGACTAATCCCTTCTCCAGTTCAGTAAAAGGTGGATTATTTATGCCAGAATTAGGGTATTCATGAGAGATAAATTTCTCATAATCTAGTTAGAAAGAATTATCAAAATCCAAATTCAATACGTCTGAATTTACAGTTCATCTCTGTTACCACTTAAACTATCCATTAAAATTCCTCTAAAATATTTAGCATTAGATTCACAAAGCCTAAAGTATGCATTTTCAAGGGTGCACCAGGTTTTCTCTACCTTTTTTTTGGGGCATTCATTGGCCATTGTAGTACGAAGGACCCTATTGGACTAGAGTGCTTTAATCAAATTATGCATATGGGCTGAATCATTCTCATCCCAAGTGGTGGCCCGATTTGGCCTCTGACAGTCCGCTGCGTCTCATCTTAATTGGGCTATACTTATATGTAACCAGCGCTCCACACGGAAGGCACTCATCAGTAACCTCGGCCCAAAATTCACTGGTCAAGCACTCATGAATTAAATTTTTCATCCTTGTGTTGCGATCAATCGGTGATGATGCTTAGGTTTTCAATGATGTGTCTTCTGTTTCAGTCTTTATCCGGCCCCTAGCCCTTGAGTTGATTTTCAGCATATCAGTCATCAAACAAATCCAATTTATAACTTTTCATGTTTTTCTTCCACCCATAAATATTTCTCAATATCGGTCTGAACCTATATATATATATATTACAATATATATTACAATTAAAAAATTGAAACTCAACTTATAAAATACAACAATAGTTAAGATTAATTTAATCTTATTCTATTTTAATCTGATGGTACAAAATTCATCTCCAAATTTTTTTCTTGCTAAAAAACGTTTTTTTCATTGCACAACCCTCAACGCTAGACAATCCCATTAAATCAGTTACATTTCTCTTATTTTTCCCTTATCTCTCTTATTTTACTTTTGTTCATTTAATCTTAAGTTACATGATTAAAGAAAATTTTTTTAACAAATATTTCATGAACAATTTTTAATTTTTGATATTATAAAGGGTATTTAGATACGAAATCAACGGTAGTTTATATATATTGCATGAGGGGCTTCAGTCAAGGCTTTTATAGTCTGGGTTCCCTTTACATTAATGCCTGAATATATTGGCTGGGGTCCCTAGCCTAAGCTAGGTTGATTGTGCGCTTATTGGTTCATGTCAGTTTTTTTTTTGTTTCCAACTCATTGAACGGGTCTAGCAGATCCCCTTGACAATTATCAAAACGTCTTAAGAATAAATTTAGACTCATTAATGTCGTCTGAACTCAGATTCATAGATCTTACTATATGTCTGAATTTTGGGAATGGTACTGGAAGGAGTGGTCAATGTGAACAAAGTGAGCAGCTATTTGGAACTTTGGTCAGTCGGAGACAATAAGACATATCTCCTAACAGAAATAGGACCGACTCTCCATGAGTACTTCTGGTCCACTATTTCAACTCCCATGACAATGCATGAAAGTCCTTTGCACCCACGTCTGATTAATGTTTTCCAAGTACCCATTGCCAAACGGGGTCCATATTACATAATTGGAGAAGGGGCCCACTTGATATACATTGCTCAATCATGACCATCCGATTGGGATAACATACAATGGAAGATCAGACCCGTCACTGACTAAAAGCATACACATAAAACCTAAGTTGAAAAATTGATACTATAAAGTATTACATTCTTTTCACAATCACGCAAAAAGCATTATTGGCTCACAGTGTACAGCAAATACAGACAAAATAATACAACAATAACGTTACATTGACTCTTACCCACAAATCTCATAAACTTAGCTTTGATGTCCACACAATAATAATCTTATTCTCTCCATGCCCCTTGAGTTGCATGGCTTTTAACGCAATATATAAGTTGTCTATATGTGAATTTACGCAAATATAAATACATATTTACCAACAAATTGATGGTGGTCCGTTGCATGGAGCTTAGATTCCTGCCAAGCACTCCGGTGGAGTGACAGGGTATCGTGATTTATCGGTGCAGTAATCGTAGATCATGTGGTTCATGCGAACCCACCGGTATCTTCTAGCTTCAACGGGGTTAAGTTGTTGGTATGCAACTCCTTCCCACCAGTTATTAGGGTTTGAGGCACATGTTTCTGGTCCAGGCCTGGGACATCCTTCAATGTCAAAGTCCTTGTAGTATGCATAAAAGGGAGCTTTGCTCCAATCTATCTTCTCGAGTCCACCTCTTGTAGCCCAATCATCGGCTTCCCACAATGTGGAGTAGACTCCCATTGGTTGGAACTTAGGGTATGGAATTCCTTTTGCTTCATTGTTCTTGTAAACCCTGATTGGCACATCATCCACAGAGAAACTACACCACAAACATAAAAAAACAATATATACCATTAGGCTCGTATGCTGATAAAACTTTATTGACTTGAATTGAATTTATTTCGTAACAGTGATGATAACACGAAAAGGGAAAATATATCATTAGTAATGAATGGTTATTGAAATAATGAACCAACTTACACAACATGACGATGGTTCCAAAGAATTGTGTAAGTGTGGAACTCTGCTGCAGGATCAAACCAAAGGTTGACCCTTTGTTCTCTGTCGCCCTTCCCGTGGGCATAGATATTGGTTTGAACAGTGTAAGGCTGTCCTGTACGATTCCCCAAAAACTCAAAATCTAGCTCATCACGTATTGTATCTGTGTCCGAATTCATCTGCCACAAAATTTGAAGCAACTAAACAAAAATCCAATAATTGAAAGGATAATAAACTACTCTCTATACTCTTGAAACTCAAGCATTTGAATAGAAAAATAAAACTCACATAAAAGGCGGTAACAGTGCCGGCAGAGTCCCCAGGAATGAGTTTGATCTTCATGCTAACACGTCCAAACAAGTACTGGTTCTTGGAGGCAAACCCACATCCTAAAAAGCAAATACAAGGTTATCTATAATCATAATCCAATTGAATTTCATTGATCCATAATAAACATAACAAGGGACCCCACGAAAAGTTGTACCTGAACTTTGGTCTAGAACAAGTTGAATGGCCCTCCCTCCATCGATTTGCCGGATATGGTAGTCGGACCAGGTAATCCGAAAGTCCTGCAGAAACGTGGCCGGTCGCCCCTGGACAGAGAACGAAAGGGCCAGGACATGCAAGGAAAGAGAGACAATGGCGTTTCTCATGGATGGGTATGTCAATGTGGCCATAATTGTGCTATAGAGTGGTATTATCTGTTTATGTTTGTGTACATGTCTCTGAAGAAAAGAGAAGTCACGGCCTTATATATATATATTTTTTGGGTTTTTTTTTTTTTTTTTTTGGGGGGGGGGGGGGATGGGGACTGCTGCATTCAAATGGAAAGGACCATCACCACCAGCTTTGCTTTCCATACAGCTAAGGGCAAGCCGTCATTGGACCCGCCATCTGGCCCATCTCTCTCTACCCAACCTTATAATTGTTATTGTTGTTCGTCTTTCATATCTTCCTGCCCCTTCTTTTAACGTCTAGCATGTCATTTCCTACATATTCTTACTCCTATACAGTGCAAGCTAGGGAAGGCCTACAAATAAAAAATACACCTACAATAGCTTGTAATTTTGCCTTGACTTTTATTACATTTTTGTGTTTAAGTGCCTAACTAATGTTGTCATTCAATGACCTTGTGGTAAAGTTGATTGTGAAGGAAGTAGAGATTTTGGACAGAGAACCTCTCTCTCTCTCTCTCACTCAGTGTAGAGTGTTGTAGCTAAAACCTATAAGAAACTTTGTATTGACAATACATCTAATTCTAAGTCAAGCATAGCAAAAATGAAGTGGTGGTTATCCACATCTAGCATGGAGTTATTGCAGCCCAATCACTACACTCAGTATACCTGTTTGACAGCCAAGAGACGATGTTGATATATGTTATGTCAGATTGGCTAATGCCTCCAAGATGGGCCCTCAATATTGGTGGGCCTTCTACCACATCTTCTTTGGACAAGGCTGGCATTGTGGTTACTCAGTAACAATCCTACAAGTCCTAATGAAAGATCTGTGGATGTAATGTGGAAAATTCTTCGGCCAATAGGGCCTAAGATGGACACGTTGCCATTCCAACACCAACCAATAATATTTCTATAAATTTTCGGCCAAATATGATTGATGCCCCCCAAACTTTGAAACAACTGTCAATTTGGCCACTCAACTTTCAATTATCTCACCTTAAATATCCTTGTAATGTAAATCGTAAAAATTAGTCTTTTTATCAAATTTTCCTTTCCAAACAAACCAAAAAAGACTAAAAAAAAACAAAAAGATTAGGTAGCAGATTGAACTAATTATTAGGAACCTTTAATTGTAGAGCAATGCTATTAAAATTTAATTTATTAATCTAATTCACTATCACCTTTGGATTAATTGTAAGAACCATCAAACATTGAAACTTGGTGTTGATCTAATGGTTCTATTGAAATCATATTATTATGTCGGTAAATTAAGTCAGATTTTTAGGTTCAACTAGTATTACTCTTTTTTTATTTTTTAGGGGGAGGGGGAGTGGGAGGAGGGAAAAAGACTTGAACCCTTGATCTCAAGAAGCCAAAATCTTCATAAGGTAAAGAATATTATTGGACCAAAAACTCGTTGGTTAAATACTAATACTCTAAAACATTTGTTTAAACAAAGATTTAGTTGAAAGAAATGATTGTTATAACTTATGTTTTGACGAAAATTTGAACGAAAGAGACCGATCATTACAATGTACATGATTTAAGGATTGAACAAAGAAAATCAACAGATGCGAGTCATTTTAAAATTGAAAGCATAAGTGGAAAGCATATGTGATATTTTTTGAACTGGAGTATTTTTAAATAAGAAAGTTTGAGTTCTTATTCATTGGATTAATCGCCCGGGTGAGGACATACGTAATATTCATCCAAATATATGTGCTCTATAAGGTTGTGCATGGATAGATACGAGTTGTTTGGGGGTTGGACCTACCAAACAGAAACTTGGACAGATGGGGAAAGATTTGATGAGACCATTGTCTAAAAGACAAATAGATCACTTTTCTCTTAACTGTACAACTGGAAAGATCTGAGTAGAAGAATAATTCATCTGACCAATAATTATATGCCACGTGTGAAGAACCCATTATACTCGGAACCCACCACGTTTTTCTTGCATTTCCGTGCCCTAACTGCGGTACCATATCTCCATCAATGCTTACGTGGAAGAATATGATTGGCTGAGAGCATGATCAGAAGCTACAAAATGGGCTTTGCCTTTGGGACGAGTGACGAGACTGACCAATGTGCTACGGTCAGTAGTTAAAGGGCCCGAAGAGGACCCGCTTGCGGGAAAGGAAGTGGTGATGGTGAGATGAGTTCAAGCCTATCGAGCCACCGACGGAAACAAAAATCCACTACAGTGCTTGTGGTCTAACTTATACTTGTGGCCAAGTTTGGGCACTTTTGGTATTTGGTAAAAGTATTTTAACGACGAATGAAGTTATACCGGACCCACAACAATGTAGATAAATATTTACAATTATTTGCTAATTATAACTATTTGTTAAGTTAGGGAGTAAACAATGAAGATCGAAATTAAACGTCCTGGGTCACTGGGTCCTGGGTCCTGGGTCCTGGGTCCTGGGTCCTGGGTCTTGGAGTTTACACCATACTGCTGCTCTATATGTGCAAACTCAATATCCGTATTTATCTTTTCTCTGAGTCATAAGCAAGTATTGAAACATATTCAAGTCAATTTCTTTTTTATTTTTGATTAAACGATCAAGGTGTCTAGACTAGTTTATGTGTACTTCGACTAATTCATTATTTGGTCCAGTCTGATAAAAAACATGTCATTTATGCCGAGAATAATGTATTCACAAGAGATAATTTCCTTATTAGCTTAGGTCCTGGAGTTTACACCATACTGCTGCTCTATATGTGCAAGCTCAATATCCGTATTTATCTTTTCTCTGAGTCATAAGCAAGTATTGAAACATATTCAAGTCAATTTCTTTTTTATTTTTGATTAAACGATCAAGGTATCTAGACTAGTTTATGTGTACTTCGACTAATTCATTATTTGGTCCAGTCTGATAAAAAACATGTCATTTATGCCGAGAATAATGTATTCATAAGAGATAATTTCCTTATTAGCTCACCCTCAATGAATTAACTTAATTAAAACGTCTGGATTTATAGTTCCTCATTGTTTTCACTTGAGCAATTCTTGAGCTTTCAAATCAATTTCATTCGATGTTATTTGGTTCAGTTCTTGTGTGAAGGATATTTTTGAAATTTTTTATTTTGTGTTGAGGGGTAATTAGGGGCATTATAGGTATTTCAATAAAAAAATTGATGATTTCAACACCCAATTGAGATTCTAATGATTTGCCAAACCATCTAGGACTTCAAAATAAAGAAGGGTCGTAGTCGGTGCCCAAGACACTCATTTGTAATGAAATTTTAGGGAAGTAAACTACTTAGGGATTGATTGTAGACCTATTTCAAAAGAGGTCATTGATACTATTAAAATTAAAAGTAGATGCCCCTATTATAGCTATATACCTCACGGGGTGTCGATAGGTGTGACTGGCTAATGGAATTATGAACACTACTACTATATATGGCCCATTGAAACCAGCTTAGGTCAAATCATACACATAAACCATGATGTAACATTTGATTCTTTTTATCAGGAGAGGTACAATGAATAGCTCGGATTTACTTTGGTTGCTTTCATTGTACCCTAAAGAATTCTAGCAGTGAAACATTTACTTGCAAATAATTGTGAACTTACTAAACATTCTTCTTGGCAAATTGAAATAAACTATCCTTCCTTGCATTTTCAAGTGCACTTCATTGAATCTAACCAAGTATTCTTTGCAACTGACTTTGCACTTGAGCAAAGGCCTTAACTACGATCGATGTCGTGGTGAGAATTATTACAAACTACTTGATTAGTAGATTCATCTTAATTTCATATTTGATATATGTGGATAACTCAGTTCATTGGACATCAAGCGTCTAAAAAAAATTAAATATACTTCGTACGATAAAACATTTTTCATATAAAATTACATACTTTATAGTAAAGAGAATGTCTACCATACGTGAAGATCAATAATTGAATTCCTGAGGTCGCATCGTCATTTAGAACTGTGGGTAGGCCCCTGATAAGTAATTTGCATGATATTTGTTAGAGTAACTACAAGCTGAATCAATAGTTGCGGGGCATTGTGTTTTCTGATTAAAAAGGATGGCTTTAAACGTATGCTAGATGTGAATTTTACCTTTTCCAAAAGGAAGAGCTGGAACTGCATTACCTTTCTTCAAGGATGAAAATAAATTTTTCCAAACGTATAGACTTCCTCTTGTTCATCTGATATACCTATACACTTCAAAAGAACCTAAATTCAAAAGAATTCGTCATCCTCTCCAATGTTTAGGGTTTCCCTATTTCATCTTTAATACGTTTTTTTTTGTATACGTTAACTACTTTTTTCGTAAATATTGTTTATATCACTGTTGTAATGGAAAATAAATTAATAAAGTTATTGAATCATATTTACATCATCTTTCAGTTGATAGAAACTTGACAAATTATTAACTACCCAAGAGAGTACACAAGTTGAAGAGCAGCAAGCCCCACTCAACTCAACTCCTCAACCAAGCCTAATGTGATTGAAGATTAGACGGAAGTTTTTTGAGATTGTAAGACAAGGGTTAGACAATATTAATGTTTGTTAAATTATTGCTGCTGATCAGGGTGGACAGATTTGACAGACGAACAACATTAATCCCTATCAAAGAGGGTACCTATCTAAATAAACTAGTGGTTATGGCACTACTTAATGAGATGATAGTTATCTGTTAGGGTGCTTGCCTGGTTATTATTGTGTTAGTTTTTTTTTTTATTATTGTGTTAGTTAAATGGTGGTTAACTGCTTTCATTCCCAACTTTAATTTGGACCTTTTCGGTAACGACAATAAACAAATATACATGCGACTTTTGGACAAAAAAAGTTGTATTTCGAATTCTTAATTTTACACTTTTTTTAGTAACTCAGATCCCAATGAATCACAGCAGTACATTATCTCACTCACTCACTCACTAGACTAGTTTTGAACCTTGTGTAAAACCGTCTCTCCAAACAAAGTATAAATCTATGGGCAGTGACCCCAAAAGGGTTAACGCTTTGTGAGATATTCGAATTCTTGACCAATGTCTGCGAACACGATTATCAGGTGATTGA